TGGAGAGAAAGTTCAACAGGAAAACTTCCTCTGAGCCTGAGGACTCCCCTGCCAGGGGACTGCCTGTGGGTCTCTCTCAGTCCTTATCCCTGGCGAGTGGTGAGCTGCATGCATTCCAGTTTGTTCTCTCTCTAGGCAGCATCTTTATTCGCTTCCTTTGTAGCACTTTAGCACATTAGGACCAGAAACGGCCTGGCCAGTCACCCAAAGTGCTCTCCGCCTGAAAGACGAAGAGACGAGTGACACGCTTAGTGCCAGCAGCAGGGGCGGAGCTGGGCCCCGTGTCCAAGCTACTAGTGCAGTCTTCCCACGGGTCAGCCACCCGATCCTGTCACCAGAGCCTCAGCTGGCCTCTGGCTGTCTCCCTGGTGTCTGTGCCCATTACAGATGTGCCTCCTGCCACCACAGCTGTGAGCGCCCCAGGGCCAAGGGCAGGTTCATGCGGACCTGCACAGACTGGCCCAGAGCACCAGGAGGAGACGCAGGGAATGAACATGTGTTCAGTAAATGACTAAAGGACTGTTCTGGTGCTGGTGCCGTGTAGGCATTTCCCAGTGGAGTACCATCCTCCACCCCCACCACTTTGTTTGTAGGCGCAGAGCCTGACGCTCCAGGCCTCTGTTACTCCCAGGCCAGGTCCTGAAAACCTATGAAAGATCAGCAGGATCCAGCGGGTGGGGTGAGGCTCTAGACCAGTGATGGCGAACCTATGACACGCGTGTCAGAGGTGACACACAAACTCATTTTTTTGGTTGATTTTTCTTCGTTAAATGGCATTTAAATATATAAAATAAATATCAAAAATATACACCTTTGTTTTACTATGGTTGCAAAGATAAAAAAATTTCTATATGTGACACGGCACCAGAGTTAAGTTAGGGTTTTTCAAAATGCTGGCACGCTGAGCTCAAAAGGTTCGCCATCACTGCTCTAGTACTTACAGATGAAATTGTGGGGAGGGTAAGGTTTTTAATTTGTGTATTACATGTGTTTGGGAGCTTTCAACTTTGTTTACGATCATGATGAAAGGCCCTGGTGCAGCTGGGTGCCTGGTTCCCGTGCATTCCTAGATGGTTTCCACCCATATTCTGGGTAGCTGACTTCTGAGTCACGCTGGGATTCTGGCATGAGAAGTAGGACATGTGAGACCCAATCTTTGAAAACCAGAAGGTGAGAAAAATGTCTGGAAAGATACTTTCTTCTGGCGATTGTTCCCCTTCCCTCCCCCCGCTTTTTTGAAGGTAGACACTACTTTGAGCCGAGCAATGTGTGGGAGGTTCGGGTACAGCCCCGGCGCATTAGATAAATAATTTTGTCAAAGGGGTTCGAACACAGGCTGTGGTTTTGAAATACACATTCACATGTGAATCTGCTCACGAATGATAGGCTGTTGATCAGCAACATCTGTTGATTTGAGAAAAGCAGGGTTTGCGTTACGGAAGCTGGAGGTATAGTTCTGTGATGGTCTTTCCCCGGGTGGGTCCTTCCAGAGGAGATGGTCTAGTCCAGGGGTCCTCAAACTTTTTAAACAGGGGGCCAGTTCACTGTCCCTCAGACTGTTGGAGGGCCGGACTATAGTTTAAAAAAAAACTATGAACAAATTCCTATGCACACTGCACATATCTTATTTTGAAGTAAAAAAACAAAACGGGAGCAAATGCAATATTTGTATTTGCATGTGGCCCGCGGGCCATAGTTTGAGGACCCCTCGTCTAGTTAGCTTCCTCTCAATGGTGCCCACTGTCTAAGGCAGCGGTTCTCAACCTGTGGGTCGCGACCCCTTTGGTGGTCGAACGACCCTTTCACAGGGGTCGCCTAAGACCATTCTGCATATCAGATATTTACATTACAATTCATAACAGTAGCAACATTAAAGTTATGAAGTAGCAACGAAAATAATTTATGGTTGGGTCACAACATGAGGAACTGTATTTAAAGGGCCAGAAGGTTGAGAACCACTGGTCTAAGGTGAGATTCGTGGCCTTCGGGAGTTCACTGTGTGAGAACACAACTGTTTAGGCAGGAGGAAATACTTAACAGTACTTTTTAAATTTTTTAAATTGATTTTAAAGAGAGAAGAATGGGGAGAGAAGCATCAATTTGTTGTTCTACTTACTCATGCATTCACTGATGCTTCTTGTCTGTGCCCTAACGAGATGGCACTGCAGCCTGGGTGTGCGGGGACAGCGCTCTGACCAAGCGAGCTGCCTGTCAGCGCTCTACGTTACTGTTTAATGTGCGCTTTTTTAAGGTGATTTACTATTTGCCACTTTGAAAGTAGGATATGTGAACGAAAAAGTTAGGAAAATACAGTAAGAAAGATACTGAAAGAGACCATTATTACTCATATTTCCCAAATGCAGGGAAATGTAAACATTTTTGGTCAACTTAGTTAACATTTTCCCTTTGATGACTTTTAAAAAAAGTGTCCGTGTGAAGTAGGTGCAGTTCCAACCTGTCACAGAGCTGTGCTCAGAGCTGACATGCTTAGAAACCAGAAGAGTGAGGACGGGGCTCGGGGGTCCCAGCCCTGCCCTGCCCTGTGCAGGACGGGAAACGGATCTTTCAGATGGACCTGCCCTCGGGCAGCGGGCCATTCAAACTAGAGTGGGGAGAAGCCCCCACACACTTAGCTTCGCTCTAAGGAAACTGTGTGTGTGGTTTTGATAACTAGGATGAGAAATTCAGGAAGAATTAGTGTTAAGCCTGAAAACGAAGTCTGAATTAATAGGTCTTGGAAGTTTTAGGGACGATTCGACATGAGTTAGAGGTTTGGGAATTGCTGGGGTTTGTGGCCAGTGGGAGACGACTGCCTTGCTCATTGGGATTGGATTCAGAGGTGAGCCAAGGGAAGGCCTGTGTCTGGGAACCCCAGGGCAGTGGGATGTGGTGCCTGGTCCTGGGCCACCAGGAGGGTTCTTCGGATAAGATGTGGCCAGGGGCCCCGCCTCCGCCATCGCATGTCCCTGATGTCTCCTCCCTCCCTGGGGTCTGTGGACCTTGGAGGGTGCTTCTCCCTGGACGTGACAGTGTGCCTGTGTGTGTTGGGGGTGGGTCAGGGGCTGCCGAGTTGTTGAGAGCTGGCACCAGCTGCATTTGATCTCTGATTGCAGGATCTCTTCCCAGTCCTGACATTGGAGAATGTCGTGGGGGGCTCATCCTTGCTTATTATAGTCATCAAGTGAGGGAGAGCCCAGAGGAGGCCTGGGGTGTGAAACGGCACCAGGTGTTGGGCTGGGCTTGCCTTCCTACCTCACTGCCGTCTCTTCAAGGGGATGGTCACCTTCTAAAAACCTTGGTTTTAGCTTGGTGTAGGCGGTCCACTTGTGTCTGAGCGGTGCCCTCACAGTCAGAGGCCAAGAGCTTGGGGAGGCAGTACGGAGTGGTGGGCAGACAAGGCCAGGATCAGGCCCAAGGCAACCCTCCAGAAGCTGAACGACTTTGGCTGTTGGTTAAGCTCTCTGGCTTTGGTTTTCTCCTTTAGAATTGGGGGCAGTAATCTCCATGTCATCCAGTTGTTTATAAAGGTTAAAAGGAGATGAGAGTGAAAGCACCCAGCCCCGTGGCCCTGTGCAGGTGGAGGTGTTCCTGGGGCAGGTTATGGTGGGTCAGCTCGGCTCCCCAAGGCTACCGTGCACCAGGGGTTTCTCTGGCTGTCACTACAAGTCTCCTTTCAAATAAAAGCAGCTGGGCCCTGCGGAGGGGCAGCGCTGATCCCGCAGGAATCCTGGGCTGACTGGGCTGCTCCCTGCAAAGGGCACGTGGGCCTGAGCCCGCCTGCCATCTTCAGAAGCCCTGGAGTTCTGGTCGGTCCTGGTGTGCTCTTACCGGACCGCCAGCATGTGCTTCTGCTCACTCGTGTGAAGAGAAGAGGAACCCACGGTGTCTGTGACCTCCTCTCCCTCCTGTGGCCCACGCCCTGCGTCCAGGTGTAACCTCCTCCTCAGCCTCCACGTGTTTGTTCATGCAGGTCCCCTGCCTGCAGTGCCTGCCTCCCACGCCCTCTCCTCTCTGGCTTCTGTCTTATCTCTGAGACTCTTAGCAGAACTCAGCCCTGCCCTGCCCTGTCCAGAGTGTGCCTTCTCTGGGGTGTCCTGCTGTTCCTTTCCTTTTTGTGGTTTTTCTTCAGCCCCAGTTTGTTAACAGGGCCTTATCCAACCCCTCCCAGCACACAGCCCCCTAGCAGACCTTAAGAATACTTGGGTGATTGACAGCACCCCGCACCCTGGGAGGTACCACTGGGTACAGTGACTTTCAGCCTCTTTGGCCCTGACCTACGTTAAGAAACACATTTTAGACGGACTCGGTAGAGAAAAGAGACAGAGGAGCTCACATGTTCACACGAGGGAAACAAGTTTCCTAAGACAGTCCTTCCCATAGGACCCCTGGCGCTTTCTCTTCTGTTCACGTCATGTTGCATTTTAATGCTGGTTAGGATTTTCCAGATGGATTGCACTGTGGTCTGGACTGTGGTTTGAAAACACTGCTTGCTCAGTAGTTGAGTCTGAGAAGGAGGGTGGGCGCTGGCTGCCCTGTGGTCTGTGGGTGTCTGTCAGAGGCCTCACTGGGCAGAGCGAGCGCCGCTGGGCAGGGGCAGGCAGCCCTGTTTGGGATCTGCTTTGGGAACAGGTGCTCCCTCCCCGCCTACAGTTTGGTCCAGAGGAAAGAGCCTTGGACTAAGTCAGTACACCTGGTTCAAGTTCTGGTTCTGCCACTTGGTGGCGGGAGACTTCAGCAAGTCACTTACCTCTCTAGGTCTCCTAGGTGCACAGCCGGCCCCTGGGGCCTTGCATGCTGCTCAGGGCTGCCGTGCAGGGAGTGGCCAGAGCAGACCTTGAGCCCTGGGCCCTTCCTCTCTTTGCTCTGTCAGCCCGGGTCAAAAGGGAGGTCAGTGCAAACCAATTACCTTCTGCCCAGGATCACGGGGAGTTGATCAGTGTGAGTGTGACCCTGTATGAGGTGTGGTGTCCCCCTGCCTGACGTGGCCTGCTCTCTTCCAGCCCTGAAGGATGGCTTCCATTATGGGGGATGCGATCATGGTGCTCAAAGGCCTTGCCAAGCTGACGGAGGCAGCCGTGGAAACCCACCTGCAGCACTTCGGCCTTGGTGCGGAGTTCATCATGGCAGCCCGGGCCCTGCAGTCCACAGCTGCAGAGCAGTTCAGCATGTTCCTGGGGACGGTGCAGGTAAGGAGGCTGGGCCAGTGGGAGGGAAGCTGGACTTGGAGCCCTTGGTGAGACTAGGACACAGCTAGGGTGGCTGGTCTCCCTGTGGCCAGGGCCAGAGAGCCCACTGGTTAGTGTAGCCCACTACCCTTCCGGGTGGGATGGGGCCCCTGGGAGAGGCTGCTGGGTGACTCACGCCTTAGTTAGAGGAAGCTTCACAGAGCTGAGAGGAGCCCCAGGAGCAAGCGGCCCAGCCCACGCGTTCGACTAGGAGTCCCTGGCTGATCAGGCACGGGTGCCGAGCTCAGGGAGACCAAGCCCCGTCCGCGGGGATCGCGGTGACCGGCCCCGTTCCCTCTGCCCAGTCTGTGTTCAGTTTCTGGCCTGTGTTGAGGTATTGAAGAGAAGCCTTTTTAGTTTTGGGAATTTAAAAAACCACAGGAAAAAGTAACACTTGCTGTGTTCTGTGGAGGCAGCTGGAAGGAACCGGCATGTGGCCGTCACTGAGCAGTTTTTGAAGAGGCAGAACCCTTCTCCCTGTGTTAACGAGTGTTTTCTGTTGGGCTGATTTCTGTAAAGAAGTGATGGAAGCCACCCGCTATCAGAGCTTCACTGGGCAGAGCAAGAGCCGCTGAGCAGGGGCGGCCAGGCTGGGAAGCGTGTTTCATCGGCTGTCGCCTCCGCATGGCGCTGCCACAGGAGGCTGTGTCCGTTGGGCTTCCTCAGGCTTTTCCCACTTGCCCGCTGCATTTTTCTGTGGGTCTCTGGGTGCTGATGTGTTGCTTTCCTGGGTGAAAGCTGAGGACCGCTCCGCCTCTCGTCTTCCTCTCGTCTTTCCTGCTGTCTTTTGTGCCACAGACCAGAGAGCCTCTGCTTTACCACCGCGGGAAGGTTTTAGGTAGAAGTGTGTGCAGGACAGGCGATTATAACAGGGCTTCATAGAGCAGAGGGCTGTCCGCTGAGGTGTCCCCAGTGACTGTTTCTGAAAGTCCCGGGGGAGGGGAAGCTGTGCACCCGTGTGCGTGAGCACACCTGCTCCCTCTCCTTCCGTTTCCCCTGTGGTCGCTGACCTTGTGGACAAAGGACACTCAGGCTCCGCCAGGCTGAGGCCGTCACAGCCTGAGGCCTCTGGTTAGTCTTAGGTCCCGGATCCCCCTCTGCTGCTCTCGAAGGTTCCATGGCTATTTCTCACCCCAAATGCCTTCAACTTCACAAGTCTCACACTCGTGACCTCACCGGAGCCTCACTGCTGGCCTGGAAAGGGGCAGGCCTCGATGTGCACCCCTTTCTCAGGTGGGGAGATGGAGACTAAGAAGTTGGATGCGAGGCCCGTGATTTTTAAGTGACAGGATCAGGTTTGTGTGTCCTCTTCCTGTCCTCCTCTGTGAGGCTGGGCTGTGGCTCCGGCCCCCGAGTGCCTTTCCTAGTGAGGAGAGCACCTTCCTGTTGGATGTGTTGCCTGTGGAACACTCAGGAGGGGCAGTTGTCCAGCTCACTGGGCCTCCCAGGCGTGCGGCAGCGTGGAGACCCGACAGGCCTCCCTGGGAGGGGAGGGGCCTCCTGCCCAGGCTCCCACCCGCTCCTCTGTCTCCTCAGGCAGGGCCATCCCCCAGGACAGTCACTTGGAGGGAGGAGGGAGGGGCCATTGCCCACCACGAGGTGGACATTAGTGGGCGCTGGCCTCCGTGTGCTCCATTCTCTCCCTCAGCACGTAGGCCCTGTGCCTCCCTTCTCTCTGGGGATGGAGGCCAGATCCTCCAGAAACCTCTCCCTCCAGCTCCTCCAGGGGCTTGTTCACGTCTTCATGCAGCAGACACCAGGTCTGGTCCCATCGACACACTGGGCCCTTCCCTGCCCAGAGGCCCAGAGCCACATAAGCCGGTCATGGCCATGCAGGGCCAGGCGGCCACACAGAGTCAGGGGCAACAGGGGCTCTGCTGTGGCTCTCAGGGACCTGCCTCAGGCCCCGCACCCAGGGCTGCCTGGCCATCTTGAGAGGTACCCAGAGAGGTACCCAGAGAACCCAATACGATTGATTTCTGCTCTGAGGCATGGCCGGCTGGTGGCCTTTACCGGGTCACCTCAGTCCCTCAGCCTGTTTCCATTTGGGCATGAGAGTCACAGCCTCATCTCCTTCCGTCCCTGGAGGCAGTAGCCTGTAGAGCTGAGGGTGCACAGGCTGTGGACCCGACTCCGTGTGGGCAGAGCCGCGGGCAGCACTGTGCACTGAGTCCATTTCAGTGGAACGGAACCCGGGCTCCTGACCTCCCTCAGGAGTCAGTGCTGTTCCACTTAGAGCCTCCTCGGCGCTGTTCCCCTGGCCTGTCTGTGCCTTGTCTGTGGCCCCACAAAACTGACTGTGGGGAGTCCTATTTTCAGATGAGGAAGTAGCAGAGAGCTCACCCAAGGTCACTCCGAGTTCTAAAGCAGAAGGAATCTGGGCCTGAAGATCAGGTCTTTTCAGTTGTTACAAGGAAAGTATGTGCCCCCAACTCCCAAGGACAGCCAGGCCAGCCCTGGTTGTGCCAAGTCGTCCAGTGAGAGAGCCTCTTAAAGGCAGGCCGTGGCCGGTGAGGGGAGCCGTGTCTGGCGAGGCACTGGCCTGGAGTGGTGGGGTGTCCCCGTCTGTACACTGCCCTTGCCCTCGCTGGTCTGTGTTATGCTTTGACTTCTCAAAGGTCTCCTGTCTCTTTCCCTGGATCACCCACCCCAGAGCCCCGATTAATAGAGGAGGAACTTGCTGGGAGTGGTGGTAACGGGCCTGGGCCTGGCTGGACACCCAGCAGGTTCTCAGTGACCACACAGAGGAGCCCTGGCAGCAGCAGGACTGGGATCCGGGTCTCACCTCCAGAACTGACACAGGCCTCGGGAGTAATGTGGTGTCACCCTCTGCAGGACGGAGGTGGGGCAGCGGGGACGTGCTGTCCTGTGCAGAGGGGGATGGGCACAGGAGGGCGGCTACCGCTTGCTCCTCTCACGCTGGCTTTTGTTCCCTGCAGGAGCAGGACAAGCATGAAGAATCTTACATGTCGGAGAGCTTTGACGACCCAGAATCAGAGTTCCACTTCTCAGGGCCAAGGGCCGAGGGCGCCTCTGCAGACTTCTCTGCAGCCTCCTCCCAGGACCAGCCGTCGTCTCCACCCCAGGATTATGCCAGCAGCAAGGGCCCAGCTCCTGCCTACGCTGACAGTGGACCCTTTAGGGAAGCTGGGCTCCCAGGGCAGACTGCCTCTCCTCTGGGCAGGCGGGACGGGAGGCTTTTTGTAGATAGCAGAGCCCCCTTCTGTCCCACTGGCCTGCAGCGAAGGTTCTTCCACCAGGACCAGTCCCCTGTGGGGGGCCTTACAGCCGAGGACATTGAGAAGGCCCGGCAGGCCAAGGCGCGCCCCGAGAGCAAGCCCCACAAGCAGATGGTGCGTCCGGGAGGGCCCCTGGAGTGGGCCCTGTGGGTGGTTCCCCGGTGGTGCTGGTGTCAGGCCCCTCCGGGGATGCTGTGGTCTGGAGGCTCTGGGAACATGGAGGCCTCTTGGTGGTGGAGGTGCTGCCCGGCAGAACTGCTGTCTTTGGTGGTGGAGAGGGGATGGGGGCAGCATGAGCCCCTGAAGGCCGCCCTGTCCCCATTCGCTGTCCCTGAGGGCTCTCTCTGCTGTCCCTCCAGCTCAGTGAGCGGGCTCGGGAGCGGAAGGTGCCAGTAACAAGGATTGGGCGGCTGGCCAACTTCGGAGGTAAGGCGGCTGTGTGTCTGTGCCCTCCCCTGCCCTGGCAGGCCAGTCCTGGCTGAGGGGGGCTGGCCTACCCTGGCCCCAGCATGGAGGTGGCAGAGGGCGGGGCCCACAGGTATCCTGGGGAAGTAGTCCGGGCTCCTGGATGTTTCCCAGGGGTGGATGATTCAGTTATTGGGATCCACTGTGCCTAAGCTCACCCTAGGGGTTGGTGTGGCTGATGCCACACGGTGAGCTGCAGCTTTGCTTCTCAGGCCACGCTTGGGGTTCAGTGTCTGCAGCTTCAGCTTCTCCTACTACGTCGGCCTCCCCGCCGTTCAGCCCTGTGGAGGCCTCTGCAGGAAGGAGGCCGGATAGTGAGGGAGTTCCTCACTGGGCCTGTGTGGCTAACTAGACAGAGTGGTGTTTGCTCCGGGAACCAGCCGTTTGGAGACCCATTTGCCGGATCCCCACAGGCTTGTGGGGCATCAGTAATGACAATGAGGTGCCGAGGCCCTGAGCTGCTGGCATTTCAAGTCCATTCTAAGATGCCGTAGAGCTGTGGGCTTTATTTGTCCTTTTCTTTGGGGGTTTGAGTAGCCGTTGTGCCCAGCACACCTGTGCTCTCTTATCAGCATTGAAGGATCATTTTATAGTGAAGGCTTACAGCAGTTGTATCTGCCTTTCTGACATTGTCTTGTCACATCTCTTATTTAATTACTAAGATGTTCTATTGAAAACACCGTCTCCTTTGTAATGGTATACTTCTAGACAGAGTGACTGGGAGCACGTTCCTCTAAAGCGTGGCTGTCCTAGAAGGTTCTCCAGAAAGTTAATGAACTCAGTTCACACATGAACCGTGGGCAAGTGGTTATTTGCAAGGCTGTGTCTAACAGAGGTCTGCTTGGTTCATGATGATGCCAGTGCTGAGTGGCCATGAGTGGTCACGATCGGGTGGCTACCTGCTTTTTCCTTTGCTTGGGCTGGATTATACATCTCCCCTCCCGTGTACATACATACTGTTCTCTGTTGTCTCTTCTCTTTTGGAAGCCACATTCTACTCATTGTTAGGATGGGTTCTGTGCTCTGGGAGCTGGACCCAGGAGTGAGTCCTAATGTTGATGGCTGGCTATCTTAAAAAAAAATCATATATAATAAAAGCCTAATATGCTAAGTGTCCGGTCGTCCGGTTGGCCATTCAATCAATCAGAGTGT